CTCCTCCCCATTCTCAGGTGCTCAGCCCAGACCCTCAGTCGTCCTTGATTTCTCTTTCCCTCACACCCACATCTGACCGTCTGAGCTGCCATTCTGCCTCCCCTGGGGCATGGCTGCAGCCTCTGCCCTGGCCCCTCATAGTCTCCTCTCCCCACAGGGACCAGGACCAGGGGGTCGTCATGTAACGATGTCATCAGATCAGTCTCTCTCTTCTGTCCCCGACTCAGTGTGGCTCCCTCTGCACTCAGAGTGGAAGCCAGTGCAGCCTGGCCCAGGGGCCTTCCTGCCACCCACCCCACCTCAGGGCCTTTGCACCTGCTTTTCCCTCTGCCTGGGACACTTTCCCTCAGGTAATCAGTGACTCACTGCCTCACCTCCTTCAGAATTGGACATGTGTGGGCTGAGCAGTAAGTGGATGAGGGAGGGAGGGGTGCAGGAGCAGTGGCCCCTCTCTCAGGTGGGCTGAGGTGAACACCTGGCTGCCTCCTGGCTGCCTCCAGGCCCTGGCTCCACAACGACTCCCTTCCCCTCCCTGCCCCTGCCCTTACCCTTGGCAATCTTGATGTCCAGGGCCGTTCGGATCAGGGCCATGAGGGTGGAATTGAAGTGGACGGTGTTGTCGTCAGCGACCGGCAGGTCCATCCGCAGAAGCCTCTATAGAAAGCCAGAGGCTGGGCATCATTCCCAGGTACCTTTCCTGGGTCCCCTTCGAGCCAGACCCCACTCACCCAGAGGGCCCCAGGAAGAACTCTGAGGGCAGCAGCTGAGGTGCCACCCACCCTAAGATGACCTGCCCGAGAGCGTGGGCAGCTGGTCCCCCTCGGTGCCCAGGCAGGATGGGCGCAGGGCCTTTCCTGCTTCGTGGCCTGCGCTCTTCCCTCTCCCACCAGCTGGGCCCTAGAGCCGGCATCCCCAGGCACCTCAGATCTTGCCTGACCCTAGAGTTCTTCTGGAAGGCCCCACCTGTTCTGACTCCAAAGAAGAGAAAGTGCAGGCCAGGTCCTCAGCAGCGCGTGCAGCAGCAAGCAGAGGGCCACGGCCACGGCTGCCGGGGCCACCGACTCCCGCCACCCCCCAGCTTGGCCCAGATCAGGACAGACCAAACAGGCACAGACCACGGCATGCCTGAGAGCAACGGCGGCAAGCAGCAGCGGCCCCCCACGGTGGGCCCCTCGCGGACATGCAGCGAGGCCGACACAGAGCAGCACAGACGGTGCATGCAGACGGAATCTCGAGACTCATTCATAGCTCCGTGGAGAGTGTATCTGGGGCCGTCCGGGGCCTGGCTCTGTGCAATGGCGGGGGAGGGGTGAGGGGCTTTTCATGGCCCAGGGAAGAAAGACTCCCTGTGTCCCAGGCAAGGGTTCTGTCCCCGGTGCTGGGAGGCGTGGGAGAGGGTGCTGGGCTGGTGCGCACCAGCCTAAGCACAGAGGGCATGGGGGTGGGGGTGGGGTCGGAGGAGATTCAGACGCGGCAGCAGGAAACAGTTGGAGATGGGGAAGGGAAACGGCAAATCCAGAGCGGGAGGTCTGAGAGGGATAAGGAGGGAGGCAGTACAGAAAGAAACACACAAGACAGGGCTGCCACGCGCAGTTGTGCAGTTGTGGACTGCACAAAGAGCTCCCAGTCTTAGAAATTATGGATTTGTGCATTTAATGCGAGAACTTTCCAGTTGATGGCATTAAGAGTGTCTTGTTCTCCCCACATCAGTGTATTACGACTTTCCAATAGACAAAGTGTCCTGGGGAAAAGGTGCATTTTTCAAATCCACACAAAGGTGCCTGTGGATCAGCAGTGGCCCTGCATAGAGGCTGGGAGGGGAAGGGCTCACTCTCCCTCTCGCACGCACACATACACCCTGGCAAGCGGAGACCAGGAGAAGGGACAAGAGGGAAACTGGAGAGAGGAGGGACAGGTGCAGGGTGAGGGTCACTGTCCCCGACCTCGACTGGGAAGGAGATGTGGTCAGCAGACAGACCAGGTGGGGCACAAAGGGAGCAGGAGGTCTGGGGGGGCGGGTAGGGTGGCTACAGGAGACAGGAGCCACATTGATGGAGGGATGGGAGGACTCACAGAGACAGGGTGGGTCAGGGTGGAGGGGAGAGTGGGATTATTGGACAATTCTTTTTTGGGGGAGGACTTTTCAAAAGTCACTGCTGAACTTCTTGTGGATGAGTTGAGGGAACAGAGCATCTGTCCATGGGCGCCAAGGAAGATTCTGGGGCAGGGGTCTAGAGGGGTGACTTGGCCCAGCCGCTTGGCGGCAGGCCCCTCACCCTTCAGCCAGCATGCACCGCCCCGGTCATCATGGTGCCTGCCCACCCCAGGCCCTGCCAAGGCAACGTGCATGGCCTGCATCGGGTGCCGCGGTCCGGGGGTCCAGCTGTGGCCCGCCTGCCCACTCTGGAACAATGGAGAGGCATGTTGGGATGTCTTGGGGGATGGGTGGCATAGGGGCGGGGCTGGGAAGCAACTCCAGGGGACCGAGGGCCGTGGGGAGGGGGTGGAGAGGAGAGGCTCTGGGGGACTACTCGGGAGGTCTCATATCCCCCAAGGTCCTAGGTCAGAGATCAGCTTCAGGTGTGTGTGTGGGGCCAGGATCTGGGACTCAAGATACAAAACATCCAAGAGGTGGGGCCAGCGCCTCGCCTTCTCTTGGGGCCAAAGCCTCTCAAGGCGCCTGCTCCAGCCTGGGTGTGGGGGTCGCTCTGGGAAAGCAGAAGGAAGGCGCGGCCACGACTTGTGTCCAATTTGGTTTCCGAGGGGCCAGGTTTGAGGGGACCTGGGGGCTCCCCTCCCCCTCCCCCTGGCGTGTCGGCCATAATGGAGTCTCTGAAAACACGAAGACACTCATCCAAAAGGACGGACACACTGTACTGGTTAGAGTCGGGGGGGCTCATGACCAATTTACTCAAGGAGAAAAGAAAAAGGAAGAGAAAAAACAAGAGTAACGCTAGAAAAAGAGACTCGGCTGGCTGTTTCCGGTCAGCACTTAAAAATCCCCGGTGCCCGGCAGGTTCGGGTGGTTGGCAAGGGTAGACTACCTGGTAGGCCACTCTGGCCGGACACTTCTTCCCCAGACCCAGGGGCGGAGACATGTGTCTCAGCATCTGATACATGTCCGGGTAAGGCATGCGGCCCCTGGCAGCACCGAAAACAAAAACGGGGGAACGAAGAACCAAAGAGAGAGCGAGAGGGAAAAAGAAACAGAAAAGAAAAAAGAATAAAAAAAAAAAAAAAAACACCACACGAGCCGAAAAAATAGAGAGAGAATGATAAGATAGATATTTAAATAAATGGGAAGGAGGAGAAAAAAATGGAAGAAAAGGTAATTAAAAAAAGGATTATTCCACTGCTCACAAGCAGAGAGAGAGAGACAAGAGAAAAGTCAGGTTCCATCTTGACCCTGAGCTATGCTCTGGCGGTACGTGGAGCCATGCTTCGGTCAATTAGTCTTTCTACCGTTGGGTCAAGTTCTCTGGTTTGGCTGAGGCTGGTCTCTGAGGGGGCCTAGGAGAGGAGGTGGGGCTGGGGCAGCAGGAGGAGGGCTGGGGGCTCTGGGAGGCGAGGGGAAGGGGGAAGAGTGGAAGTGATGGTGGAGGGGCCAATGCAAAGTCACGATCCCCTGGATGTGTCTGGTTTGGGGAGCGGGAGAGACCCCGGGATGGGCAGCTGCAGCTAAGAGCAAGCAGAGATGGCTGAGGGGACGGAGAGGTATGTTCCATGCTTCGAGTTTCTGTGACTGCATTCTGTTGGCTAAGAGAGTTTTCTAGTTTAATGCAAGAGAGAGAGATGGCTCTGTTTTTAGATATATATATATGAAATATATATATTGAAGAACCCCAAGCCACACTCATTCCATTGATGCTAGCAGGTTTTAGTGGAAATCAAACCTTGCAAGCAACCCTATGAGGACATTTCTTGCCTAAGCCGAGAGGGGGAGATATTACTCGCAATAAACTGTACATATCCTTATAATGAATCCGACCGCTGAAAGGAGAAGAAAGGGGGTTAGTGGAGGTGTGGGATCAAGTCGCGTCCACACCGGCTCCCGTGCATGCAGCGAGGTCAGAACACCAGGGGCCGGGACCCCCTGGCTTGTAGGGTCAGGGTGACTTGGGACAAGTGAAGGTCCTGGATATGTTCCCAGACACTTGCCGACCCCGGGGCTGAGCGTTTGGTTGGGGTGTGCGGGAGTTCTGGGCTGGGGGCACCTCCCACAGGCAGTCTCTGCACCTCCCTCCTCCACAGGCTACATGGCCTACACTGGGGGCTCGTGGAAAAGAGGATAGGGGGATAGCATCCCACTGCTGTGACCTAAAATCAAAAGAGGAAGAGTTAGGAACCAGCCAGATGCCGAGCCCCAGACCTGCGGCCCACCCCAGCCTCTTGGGCTCATGGAGAACTTGTCTGGGGCTGCAGGAGTGGTAGGGGGCGACTCCTCCCCACCCGCCTTGGGAGGCCTCACATAGCTGAGGGCCCCTAGTCATGCTCCCTCAGGCCCCAAGCCCAGCCTGAACTGGGATCCTCAGCTAGTGGTTTGTGCCTCTGAGTGCCTCCGAGTCTGGCAAGGGCTTGGTGCAGAGTGGGCACTCAATACACACACACAGAGTGGAGAGGTCCCTCAAAAAGCACTGCCTGCCAGTGGAGAGAGGGCACTTTGGTGCCCACGGAGATGGGGAGAGCTCACTCTCTTTGTGCCATGAAGATCCAAGGGCCTTGGAGCACCCAGGTTGCAGCTTACCCTGCCTCTCCACTTGTCCTGCACCCCACCTGAGCCAGCACTGTAGCTCTGCAACTATCCCTGGCCTCGACTGACCACCCACTCTAAGGCCCCAGGCTCC